AAATTAACTAGAGAGTATTTGAAGACAGGCTTTTTTTGTGGCTATCTCTCTCTCTCGGCGTTCTTCGCACAAACATGGAGGTGCTGAACCAGTCAATCATATGCCTCCTCAATGTTGTCAATGACGGCATCTTCCCATGTTTCCACAATAGTGCCAAAGAGCTCCCAGTTGGTGGTCGTTTTGGGAGTTCTCTTCTTAAACTTTGCAGCCCTTTCTTCCCGCTCTGTGAAGTAGAATTTTGCATGAAGGAGACAGTGGTCTGATCCCGTTTGGATTTTTGGGACAATAGTGACATCAGTCAGGCAAAACTGGTGATTGAATATGATGTGGTCAGTTTTGTTGTGGAACCATCCCCTGGGAAACTCCCATGTCCAACGTTTAGATTTGGCCTTCTGGAACTGTGAGTTACCATAGATGGTCTTGGTCAACACGATAAACTCAGACAGTCTCTCACCCTGTTCCTTCCATTCTAGGCCATGTGTCCCGATGTGGAGTTCTTTGGCTGATCTTCTCTGTCCTATCTTGGCATTAAAATCACTGACAATGATCTTGTAGAAGGTGTGATCTTCTTTATAGAATTTCTCCAGCTCCATGTAGAACTTCTCAACTTCTCCTTCATCATAATTGGATGTTGGTGCATAAACAACGAAGATACAAACTGCTAGCAGTGAGCCATATCTATTCAAAAGTAATCGCCCAATTCTGGTTTTTAAGCATTAGAATGAATCAATGCTTATGGCCAATTCATGTTGACAAGGACACCAAAACCTCCGACACTTCTTTTGGCACATATTTCGAGGAATAGTTCTTCTCCAGTGTCGAAAGTGGTGTGATGTGACTGATGCCTTCTGGTCTTGGTCAGACCAATGATGTCATACTTGATCTTTCACACTTGTACCATCAGGTCCTCAATGGATGCATCCGATGTCAGCATATGTGCATTGAAAGTACAGATAGTCATTTTTGTCTTTCCTCGTTTTGGCAGCCTAATTTATCCCTAAGATGTTATTAGCCTCTCCTTCCTCATCCTTCTTAATGCTGCTGTATTCATTGGTCTTTCAGGGTCAGTGGAATGAGACCCAGTAGCTCCACTACCCACTCCGCCTCCACTCTCCAGGACACTTTCCAGACACTTGGTCCTATACTCATACACGAGTGACGCCCCACAGAACCAGAGAAGCGGAACTCTGTGACCTTGAACTCCATGCTCTATTGACCCTGGAACAGAGATCCTCTGCCTGCTCCCAGACCTCCATTACCTCCACTACCCAGCCATAGCCACACACCCGGATGCTCTTCAGACCGAGAGACACATCATAAAACACTTAATACACGATTACCACACCATATTTTACAGGGTTCAAATATGGTTTGAACCATGGGAACACCTGCAAGGATGATTAGAGGTCACCCTAAAAGCCTCTATGCCTCTCGGAGAGCCTGGTAAGGTATCAAAAGTGTTCCGCCCGCACGGCAGAGCCTGGCAAGCTATCCGTGGTGTATTCGATATGCCAAAACCAGTAAATACAAGTCTTCAATATTTCAAATATATAAAATTTCTAAAACTTCAGTCTCTTCTCTAAAGCATAAGGAATCAGGCTAATACAGTAATCATTCATTCATTATGCATTTATTGATGTTTCTGTCACTTTCAATTGTCCTGTTAGGTGGTGTACTCACAAAATTTAGAGCATGATTAGTCTCTTTCTTCAAGTTCACACTCCAGGAGTCAAAACTATAATACAGAAGGTAGGGCGTTTGCCTTGCAAGCGTGGACTTTAGTTTAACTCCAGCATTCCATATGGTCTTCTCAGCAACACCAGGCATAATTCCTGAGTGCAGTATCAGGAATAAGACCTGAGCATCACCAGGTACAGCCCAGAAGTTAAAAAAAAATCAAAGAAGTACACACTCTAGTGTAAGCCAGAGACAAGTCGATGGTCAAAGGGTGAGGATCATGGTGGCTACCAGCGCAATAGGAGTGAAAAACATGACATATGATGAAGCACAGTAACTCCAGATAATAACAATGATAAAACTTGTAAACACACTTTAATAGGGAAGATAAAGGCATAATTATTTATAATATTAATATATAAGCAAGCATTTTATTTAGCAATTTCCTTCTAATTGCTATTAAAAGAAAGTAAATAGAATAGTTAAGAAGATAGAACTTAGTCTAAAAGCCTAAGGGAAGACATTCTCAATAAAGGATTCAAATTCAAAGCTAAGAATAATTAGAAATTAATCTCAGACTGTGAAGGAAATTTCAACATCCCAGACAGAGAAAATTGTACATTTAAAGTTCCTGAAATGGGAAATAAATAAATGTATTTGAAGAAGAGTGAAAAGGTCAGGTCAAGAGAGAATTTTATCGCAGTTTTGTAGTTGTGGTTTAAATGAAAACCATTCATAAAACTTACTTAAGATTAGCAGGTATGCAATGTATAAAGGTGGTTATTTAGTAGATCAAAAAAGAAAAGATGATATATTGTGTCAGTCACCATATTTCAATAAATTCTAAACTGGAAAAAGGAAAGATTAATACTGAGGAGAGAGACAGTAAGAACTAAGTCCTTGCATTTAAGATAGTTGAACTTTATCTTAAAAGTATTGATTAGCCTTTTAATCATATAAAATAGGGATGAGGTGTGATCCAATTTTCATTTTAAAATATTAATTTGAAGTAATGTAAAGTAGCTAGAAGCAAGAATGTTTATAATTTCAGTCTTGCCCACAGACCAACTAGCAACTAGTTACAGACACAATATCAATATGAAAATTCCAGAACTCAGGAGAAGTACTAAAGTAGTCCCCAAGACAACAAAAATAGAAAAATGTCTCAAAATTTAAAATGTACTAGTATTGAAGTAACAGTAGTTCACAGACTATAATTATGTTGAAGAATAGTACTAAGAATGAATGTTCTTGTTTTGTGCCTGATCTTAGAAGAAAAGCGTTCAGTTTTTCATCATTGAGTAAGATGCTTGCATTGGGCATATTTTTATGCTATTTACTATGTTTAGATATGCCTTTCTCTTCTCATTTTCTCGAAAACTTTTATCATAAGCAGATGTTAAATCTTGTCAGAACTTTCTCTTATTCTCTTTATAAGATCATATGATATTCATCTTGGCTTTTGCTGATGTGTATGTTCTTTCAGTTGCTTTGCATGTGGTCAACTAGCTTTACTGATTGAAACAAATGTTTTCATCATAGAAAAAGTCCTATTTATCAAGATGAATAAGCTTTTAATGTACTTGATTTTACTTTTATAAGATTTTGCTAAGCATCTTTGTTTGCTATCAGGGATAGGTACATATATATGAATATGTATAATATACATATTAAAATATTTAGGTTTCTCTTTTTGTAATGCCACCATATGTTTTCAATATCGGGGTAATGTTGGCATTATGAAAATTATTTGGAAGAATTACTTTATTTCAGTCTTTGATGAAGATCTTCAAAAAAGGAAGGCTATAGATAATCTTTGAATGTTTGGCAGATATCATTCGCAGCAGTGCACCTGGGCTTTTGTTTAGGGATATACTTCTGATTACTGTTTCAATGTTCTCGCTAGTAACTGATCTGAGGTTTTCAATTAACTGCTCATTTATACTTGGATGGATATTTGATTCTAAAATTTTTTTCTAGGTTCTTAAACTAATAGTATAACTTTTACATAGTATTTTCTTATCACGCTTTATTTACGTGGTATGTTTTAATCTCTTCTCTTTCATTCCTGATCCTGTGTGTTAGATTTATTTTTTCTCTATGTTTATTCATTCATTCATTCATCATCCTGTTATTCGTCGATTGCCTCGAGCAGGCCCCAGTAACATCTCTTTCATCCTAGCCCTGAGATTATATTCAAGGCTCTTTAGGAGAATGAGACCCATCATTGTTACTGGTATTTGGCATATTTGGTACGCCACAGGGAGTTTGCCAGACTCTGCCCTGTGGGCAGGCTACATTCATAGCCTGCAAGTTTGTCCAAAGTAGGAATGAGATAATAAGATGTCATAAAAAGATGTCCTGATAAGATGTCACGGCCGGGAGCTGGATTTTATAGTCTCTGAGTCTTGGCCGTTGATGGGATTACACGGCGCCAGGGGGCCAGGTGGTGGGTGTGACTCCCGCCTACTGGAATTTGGAGGATCTGGGTGGAGGATGCTCGACTCCAATCCAAGTAGGCTTGGAGATCTATGTTTATATGCTATGTTATTTTGATAGTAATGATTATCAAAATTATTTATCCCTTTGTAGAACCATATAATGATCATAGAATGCGTTCCTTGATTTTTCAAACTATCTTTTAAGTTTTTATTCTATTTACTATACATCTAAGAAAAGGAACTCATTAGAAGGTTAAGGGTTTCTTGGAAAGGCATCAACTACTCCCCAAGTCAGCACAAGAAAATATCAAGATTTCCCCTGCTGTAAAGACTCTTGAGTGTTAAAACTAAGATGCAGAGGTGATATTCATCTTGTTTATATAAATAAAAATAATGTATATATTTAAAAATTTATAAGAAAATTTACTAAAAAGTTATAAAATAATTTATAGATTAAAAAATTAATTTGCTCGAGCGGGCCCAGTAACGTCTCCATTGGAGACTTTGTTGTTACTGTGTCTGGCATATCGAATACTCTCGGTAGCTTGCCGGGCTCTCCGAGAGGGGCGGAGGAATGGAACTCGGGTCGGCCATGTTGGCTGCTTGTAAGGCGAATGCCCTACCGCTGTGCTATCACTCCAGCCTGGAGCGATAGCACAGCGGGTAGGGCGTTTGCCTTGCACGCAGCCAACATGGCCGACCCGAGTTTGATTCCTCCGCCCCTCTCAGAGAGCCCGGCAAGCTACCGAGAGTATTCGATATGCCAGACACAGTAACAACAAAGTCTCCAATGGAGATGTTACTGGGCCCGCTCGAGCAAATCGACGATCAAAGGGAGGACCTTTACCTTTACCTTTACCTTAAAAAATTAATACTGTTCAGCATGTGAAGAAGCCAGTTGGAACACAGGGGTTCCCACTGGTTACTCCAGGGCAATGGGCGAGCGGACCACTCCGGCCTGAGGCGGCGGTGAGGAGCAGGCGGACAGTTGCTGGCATCACCGTGGAGGGCAGCGGGGAAAGTGGCAACAAAATCCCTGAGGGTTTGGCCGGCTTTTTCAGAGCAGGATATTCGCACGCGGATCTGGCTGGCGTCCGGCTAACTGGTATGAACCCCTTGTCTCCTTATTTAAATGTGGATCCAAGATATCTGGTACAGGATACAGATGAGATTATTTTACCAACTGGAGTTAATAAGAAGAGGGGAAGATTTGAGCTGGTCTTTTCTACTATTGGTGGATACTGTTTTACTATTGGGGCTGCATTTGGGGCAATCAATGGTCTACAGCTAGGATTGAAGGAAACCCAGAATATGGCCCGGTCCAAACCAAGAAATGTCCAGATTTTGAATATGGTGACTAGGCAAGGGGCTCTTCGGGCTAACACTCCAGGCTCTCTGGCTTTGCTCTATAGCGCATTTGATGTCGTCATTGAGAAAACAAGAGGTGCAGAAGATGATCTCAACACAGTAGCAGCTGGAAGCATGACAGTCATGTTATATAAATCTATTGGTGGACTTCGAGGGGTAGAACGAGGTGGTCTAGCAGGAATAACACTTACAAGCCTCTATGCACTATATAATAACTGGGAGCACATGAAAGGTTCCTTGCTCCAACAATCCCTCTGACGATTTTGCCAACTCATGGATGGGGGACACTTTAGTCATTCACGTCAACTTCTAAGTCAGTCTGGAGTTACTCTCTTACCTACAATTAGTTTGAAAAAAAACAGAAATTCTGATTTTCTAAATGAAGATCATGGATAGCTGACCAGGACTGGCTTTCCATCCAGCCAGTATGAGTTGAAACCAAAACACTCTGGTGGCTGAGCAATGTGGTTCTCTTCTCCTTTGGAGAAAGTGTTTTACCTACTATGTCTTCTATTCCTTGGAGCTGGAAAACCACTTACTCACCAAATTCACGTCACACTTGATATATGGATACTGTATCACCATATTTGCTCATTTAATAATCAAATCTGTAATGCCCTGTATTCACAATAAAGGGTGAAAATAGAACCAAAGTCCAACCTAAAAATAAATGGTCTCTCCATTTAAAAAAATTTAATACTGTTGAAAATCAATGACAGATTCAAAGCAATCACTAAAATTTTCTTTTATATTTATGTAAATATAAAATAGAACTAAATTAATAAAATATCACAAAAATTCTGAAAACAATTTGTGAAAGAACAAGAATGGTGGCATAACACTTTGATTTCAAGCTATACCATATGCATATGACCTATATAATATAAAGCAGTGTATGATTGGTAAAAATGGAGACATATAAACGGCTAAATAAGCAAAAATTCAGCAATAAACCCAGTTGTACTTGGTAACTAATATTTTCCAAGAATATAACAGATAGTCAAAGGAGAAAAGATAGTCTCTTCAATAAATGCCACTTACTCTGCTGGACATGTGATTCAAAAAGCAGAAACTAGAACTCTGTCTTAAACCATATACTAAAACTTACTCAAAATGGATATAAGATTTAAATTTAAGACCTGAAACCACAAAATCTCTATAATAAAAGCGAAATTTTCATTGCCTTTGCTCTTGGTAACGATTTTTTTAAATGACAACAAAAACAGAAACAAATGAATATGACCTTATCAAACTCAATAGAACTACACAGTTTTGCTCAATCAATAATACAAAAAGTCCTATGGAATGGGAGACACTTTTTTTGCAATTAAGTGTCTATTGTTGAATGAATTGATACTTTGTTATACAATGAAATAAAATGGGGTAGGACTGCACCCAACAGTGCTTAGGGCTTCTTCCTAGCTCTGTCCTCAGGGATCTTTCCTGTTGGTAAACAAGGGACCATTTGCAGTCCCAGGGATCAAACCTAGCTTAGCAGCACACAAGGCAAGTGCCCTACCTACCGTACTCTCTCCTTTCCTACCGTAAAAATTTTAAAGCTATGAAGAAAGAAATTCTGCTATTTGTGGCCATATGAATAAACTTTACAAGTACTATACTACACAAACTCAAACCGAGAAAGGATAATACAGTATGAACTCACTGTTTTATCAAATAAAAATCAAATTCATGTAAACAGAGAAAAGTTTGGTATTGCCAAGGGAGGAAGCAAAAGAAATGGCTGAAGATAGTAAGAATTTGGAATTATCATTGGTAAGTTCTGGGAAACCTAATGTACAGTGTGGCATTTACAGTCAACAATACAATAGTGTACACTTGAATGCATCTAAGAGAAAATACATTTAAGATTCTCATTATGCACACAATATATGAGGGTTATTATGTGAAGCAACTTATAGATATGTTAACTAGCCAAGCTGGAGTATAATTTTTGAAAATACATATATGTTGATTTATCATGTTTTTATACTGTATGCTTATAAAGTGAAATACGTTCATTTTATATTATTAACTTGAAAGGATTCTTAAACAAAATTTACTTGAACACCAGCTGTAGAAAGGATCAGAGGTACTGCAAGAGTGGATTGAAATATTCATTAGAAACTGTTGCATGGACATCCATAAATTCTTAAGCAACAGTGTAAGGATGAGATACAAAATTAAAACAAAAAACTCAGATGAGATAACCAGTTATTAGATCATTCCAAATACTGTAGTCAATTTTCTTGTCACTAACAATATCATCTGTCAAAAGAAGAGTGATATTTGACAAGAAAATTTTAGTCGCAATTAGATTATTTCCAAATCTTTGGATTTGGGCTTGGCATTTCTGTCAGACATAGGTGTGGCTAAATAAATATCTTCAGAATCCTTCAACTCTTCTCTATATTCCATTTAATATTGAAAAATAAATGCCATACATACTTCAAAAGAATGATCTTCTTAAGAAACTTTAAAAAAAGATATTTCAAATCTTCTGAACTCTTTCATGTAGTATTATTACAATTTTGGTTGTTCTACACAAACATACATGCCAAAATTTTAGACTCAGATCAGTGAATCTTTACACCTAGTACCATGGATTTCCACCTTCTATCACTCCCACACACTAATACTTGACTACTGACAATGCCTGAGGGTTATAAACCCAAACAAAAAAATAAAGCCATTGGAATAGTTGAAGTCATTTTCTTATTCCAATGAATGCAATTTTATATGCATGGTTATCAAGTAGAGCCATAATAGTAAGAGAGTTGAGGAAGTAAATATATTTCCTGGTAGATTATTTAGCTCACATCCAATGCTTAACCTATAGAGTATATTTGCTAAGTTTTGAAGTCAAATTAGTCATTAGATCTCTGTCAGCTTTCTTTGGAAGCAAAGAAAGATATAGAAGAGATAAGAATCCTTTACTGGCTCCTTTCTTTCTTATAGCAGTCAACAATCAGTATTAGGCCTATAATATAATTATTCTTACAATTGAAATTTCTTCATTAAAACAAGAAATGTAGTCCTTGTATTGGTTACCTCTGCAATTTACCAGAGTCAACTCAAATCCCACAATTTCTCAGAAGCTGTGAGATTATGATTGTGAATTTTCAAATTAAGCACATCTAGTTCAATCACATATCCATCTAGTCAGCAAATTAGTATGTTTCAGTAACCTTTGCTATATTACTGGAATACCGCCCTCCTTTTCTGAACTTTTAGTACTCAATCAGTGGCTTGCCTTTTGATTCCTAACGATTAAATTTTTGCTACTCATTTGATTTTAAACTTGAACTTATCCTGTTATATTATTCTTTTCAAATGCATGAACCATATCTTCATACATTTTATGGCTTCTTGGTGATGTTTTACAGTCAACAAATATGAGTCACAACTGATTTTCATGAATCTATTTATTCAATTTAAAGGACTGTATTTAATCATAAGATCTTTCTTGCCTTTTCATGTTAAATTTTATTTCTCGTCCAAGTGCACTGAATAGTCAAATAAAATAGTTGGAAGCCCTTTGTGGTTTTCTCAAATTTTCTAAAACTTATATACTGTAAAGTGAATGAGACTTTAATGATAAAGATAGGTACATTGCACCTCTCTTCATCCCCAAAAACTTCTATCAGAGTATTTCATGCACAGAAGGGATTCACCAAATATCTTTATCGGTTGGATTATTTTATCTTCTCATAAACTGTTCTTATTATAAATCAAATAACCTATCTATACTTCCTTTCCCATATATCATAACAACCTAATAAGCGATTAAAATATGTAGTGAATCAGTGTATTTCCACCTTATGCACAAATTAAAATTTACTCCAATTCAAGTACACGCACTCATAAAAAAGGGTGAGGGCAAGAGAGAGATGAATTAAATGGTATGAGAATTTGACTTGTCATTCCACTCACTGAGCTTATGCCTCAGAGTGAGCACAACAAGGAAAATTGGACTCTGCCTTTTACTCTTTGTATTCACTTCCCATATGCCTCTCTTAGTGATCATGTTGCCACATTTCTGAGTATTCTAAAATTTAAAGATGAATATTGCATATATTATGATTCCTAAATTCAGTGCAATTGCCTTATTGGGTGCTCAAGCAAGAAAAAAGGAAAATACATCTTTCTGCTCCAAAGCTAGAAGGAGAATCAGCCACACTGAACTTACTGAGATGCTGAGATGATGTATAAGTTTCTAAATTGATGCCTCTGAAAATAATTTTAAAGGTCTTATTTTCTTATATTCTAATATTTGCCTTATCTGTATTATTTAGATTTAGGATGATATTCTTCACTATGACACTGTTGTAATCTGGAAACACTCTTGCTTTGATAGTTTATGTATTTTATGAATTGTTTTCTATTCATCATGATAATCAAAACATTTAAGTCACCTGCCATTGTCTTAAGACTGAAAACACTATTACAGACAACAAACAAATGCACAAAGAAAATCACATAAAATTAAGAGCTTCAATATGAAGGTCAGATACGCATGCCTCTAAGGGATTGCCACGTAAAGAAATAAGTCAAGTATCCTGTGCTTAAGAATGTTCGAGGAAAAGCAGAAACCTCAGTTAGATCTGAAGAAGACAGAATATCAGGGGATTGCTTTATTCCAAGCTACTATTTCCAACAGGAATGTGGGTTCAGTATTGCCAAAGAATCATTTCTTAAAAATCTAGACATTCAGAGCTGGAGCAATAGTACAGCGGGTAGGGTGTTTGCCTTGCATGCGGCCCACCCAGGTTCGAATCCCAGCATTCCATATGGTTCCCCAAGCACTGCCAGGAATAATGAGTGCAGAGCCAGGTCTAACCCCTGAGCATCGCTGGGTGCGACCCAAACAGCTAAAAGAAAATCTAGACATTCATGTATACACACACATGTACGTATATATTGTTTTAAAACTCAGAGAACTTCTACAAATAATAGAAATTCCTTGTGGTACGACCATAAGATATCAATAAGCAAGGTCTATACTTCTCTCATTACAGACTGATTAACCATTAACAATCATCATCTTTACCACAAATAAGGATTATTTAAATTATATCTGTAATATCTGAGCCTATCCAGTGCTTAATTATCATATTGCGAATTGCACAATGTGTGGTTCTCTTTATTATGACATTGTGCTGAATCAGTACAAAACGTAGCCTTCAGCTTTATTTGAAAGTACGTAACACTTCTCAACATATAAGACTATCTTAACATTATACCAAAATAGTATGTAAAATTCCTTCTTTCTTTCGATTAATGTAAAGAAATTCCCCAGTTAGCTGTTTATGTAAAGATTAATAGTTTAAGAAGTTTCAATAGTTCTCTATACCTGAAAAACGGGTTTGATTTATTCTTCATTAAATCATAACACTATATTATTTTCATAAGTATTTATAAGCAAAATTTGGTCATTTCTCTATCTTTAAAAAATGCGATATCCTCAAATTGAGTTTCCCATAAGAATCAGGAAATTCTTTTTCTTTTTCCCTTTATTTTTTTTTTTACAGTTGTAGATTTACAAATTTTTTGTGCTTTGGTTTCAATTATACAATGACCAGATACCCATCCCTCCACCAGTGCCCATTTTCCACCACCATGGATAATATCCCTCCCACCCCCATCCCCCCATCCCCCCTGTCTCTGTGGCAGGG